GAGGTAGCCATGTCTGAAACGCTGTGAAAGCAAGAAAACGGTTAGTCATGTTACCAGTCCAGACGTATCGAGTAGAAGCTTCAGTGAACGGGATAACGTATTTCTCGCCGTTGAAACCCTCCGCAGGTAAGTTTAGAATATCGCTGTAAACTTTTTCCATCAACCGATAATCCTCAGCGCCAGGAAAATGAGTCGGGTACGGTTCGTGCGGTAGATTTGCTGCTGGGCAGATCAAGCAGGGTGATGGACGATTAACCGGTTTCATTTCGAGGCCGCCAGGTAAGAGAAGAGAATTCTTGTCGAGAACAGCTGCTTTGATTGTATTGTTGAGCGTAGACTGCGACGGATGACCAAGACGCTTATGCCAGGTGTCTGCAGTTGCTTTGTGTCCCTGTGCGCGCAGATAATATTCGGCGTTAGCGAAGAAAGATAACAGCAACCGATGACCGTCAGCGTGAACATGATCTGTGACAGGCGGGATAAACCTGGTAAGGTTAGGTGGTGGAATTTTGATTTCAACGTCGATGGATTCGCCAGGTGAAAGGACTAACTCCCCGCTCTCTTGATCTGATGCTGCAGGTTTAGGTTCAACGCCGACAAGTCGTCCGGAGTCGAGAACTTCCATGTCAGCGACACGCTGCTCTGCTTCTGTGAGAAGACGTTGGTCACGATCAGCAGGTGTTTCTCCCCAAGTGGTCTCATCAGGTTCCTGTGCCCCCCAAGTGCCTTCACCCGTGGGTATATTCGTCGTATCTCCCCAACCACCAACGTGCGCAAGATAATCTCGGGAGTTCTGGACGTCGTTCAAACCTTGATTGTCGAAGGTCAGCATGACAGCGGCAGCCGTGGTTGAAGATGTGGGTACGACTCCTTCACGAGGAACAGTATCATTGGTGTAATCGATGTCGTCACGATGTTCCCATGGGCCAAGAGAGAGAATATTCTCGGAGTCGGCAGTGGTGCGTTCAGGTACGAAGTTGAGAACGAAGACACCGTTCTGTTCAATTGCCGTGCCGAGTTTCATGTCTCCATATTTTAAAGTAAACTTGCCCGGTTCGCCAAGAAGAGCAATTCCATTCCTCATGAGCTGTGCAGATGACATCAGATTGAAGCCAAGTCGAGGAACGAGAAGTACATCGTTAAGATGAAGACTGAAGTCTTCTTCAACAGAATCAAGAATGATGTTACCCATCCAGTGTGCTGTAAGACGTTGATTGTTGGCGACGGTTACAACGCATGGATTCTGAAGACGACGCTGATTGATGACGAAACGGTTTTCTGATGAACACATATGCTGGCCGCAACAACTGTCGAGATACCAATTGTTAGGACCTTCCAAGGTATGTGCAAGGTTGGCGTAGACCTCGGGTGGTATGGGCGTATTGAGTTCATCGTTGAAGTTATTGTGAATACGATCTTCAGCGTCAGGATCGTAGGCGGTAGAAACTGACGTCATACAATTGATAACTTCTTTCGCTTGTGTCTTGGCAGGTGTAGTAGGCGGCTTCGCAGAGTTCGGCTTCGCAGAGTTCGGCTTCGCAGAGTTCGGCTTCGCAGTATTCTGCTTCGCAGCTTCCGGCTTCTCAGCTTCCGGCTTCTCAGCTTCACCTGAAGAATCTTTGGTATGTTTCGATGTAGACCGCTTCCAAGATGGTTTATCCTTCGACCAGCAGGTATCAATAGTGTGTCCTGCTTTACGACAAAAGGAACAAACGGGCTTGTGACGTGGATTAGAATAAAAACTGACTGTGTTGTTTACCACCTTTTTCCCTCCTCGAACGTTGTGCAGGTCCATATCCTGCTGCTCGGCGATGAGAGCTGCACAGAGTGCCCCCTCGGACAATTGTGCTTGCATCCGAAGAATAGAGCGACACTGTCGCCATTCTGGTCCAAGACCCGCGAGTAGCACCGTGTGAAACATAGCGTCAGGGAAGTACCCTCCACACTTCTGAAGTTGATCACGCAGATTTCGAGCGCGGTTGATATACTGCGTCACCTTCTCGCCGTTTATCATTTGTATATTTGACAGTTGCGTCAAAATTTTACTCTGGTTGACAGTGTCCTTTGCCATGTGAACCCCTTGCAGGTATAACCAAGCTGCTTCAGCGGGAGCGGCACTGGTACGAAAAGGACGAATACCAAGCTATTCAGTCGGTGTCAGATTACGAACGAGAACTGTGTATGCAGTCAGCGACGCCGATCGAAAAGTGGTCTGATGAAGTGGTGACCCGTGAGATGGAAAGGGTGCTGTGTTGTCGAACAGCTGCCAGAACCCCGCGGTCTGAACAAGAAGCTCAAATTCAAAGCTCCAGGTATAGAAGTCTTGACCGTTAAAAGGCACTGTCGTTTTAATTTTTGTTGGGTTTGCAGAAGCGGGAAGATAATTTCCGGTACCGTCAGCTGACTGTAACTGATAAAGTGATGGCATCTGTGACCCTTGTGGTGCTTGTTGTCCTTGTCCAGCAGGAACGAAAGAAAAGGAGTTATTCGACCCGTCGCTTCCCTGTGGCATCTGTCCATGCTGATAACTGGAGCCATCAAGGTGTCAGTAGATCTGCACTGTGGATGCCCGATTGATCCTGGAGAGGGTTACAGGCGCGTTCGCCTGGGGGGTTATGGGCGCACTGACCCGCTACTGAAACAAGCCCTTTTATCCCAGTGGTCTAGTGGTTGGGATTCTGACATGGTATCAGAGCGGTCTCGGGTTCGATTCCCGGTGTATGCACATATAGGCCGTTGCCGCTGTGCTTAGTCCTGGGCCTCCCAGTGTGGGGGGGTGTCAGTAGATCTGCACTGTGGATGCCCGATTGATCCTGGAGAGGGTTACAGGCGCGTTCGCCTGGGGGGTTATGGGCGCACAGACCCGCTACTGAAACAAGCCCTTCTATCCCAATGGTCTAGTGACTGGGATTCTGACATGGTGTCAGAAAGGTCTCGGGTTCGAATCCCGGTGTATGCACATGTAGGCCGTTGCCGCTGTGCTCAGTCCTGGGCCTCCCAGTGTGGGGGGGTGTCAGTAGATCTGCACTGTGGATGCCCGATTGATCCTAGGGGGGTTATAGGCGCGTTCGCCTGGGGGGTTATGGGCGCACTCTGACCCGCTACTTAACAAGCCCTTTCATCCCAATGGTCTAGTGGTTGGGATTCTGACACAAGGCTCATAGGAGTTGGAAACATTTGGTTAAGTGATAAGACGGCAGCATTGACACACTGTTGAAGATTTGTTGGCTGGTAAGCACCTTGATATTGATAAGGTCCAGTCGGTACGAAACTGGACTGTTGTCCTGGTTGAGTAGAAGAACCAGTGACTGCAGCTGCAGCTGTTGTGGCTGCTGATGCTGCTGTTGCTGCGGCTGCTGTAGATGATGCCGCTGCTGCAGTTGTGTGTACGGGCTGACTGCTCAGTGGCATGCCGTACATCGGTTGTTGCTGATATTGTTGTTGTTGATGTTGTTGCTGCAGATAAGAATTGTCAGCAGCTGGAGACGCTGTTGGGCGTGATGGGCTCGTAACAGAAGACCCGTTGTTGGATCGTGGAGAGCCAGACATAGTTGCAGAGTATGTAGTTGGAAACTTGTACCGTAGTATCCTAAGACGCTCGCAATACCATGTTAGAATTTGAAGTGATTGAATAGGATCGTACTACTTAGGATGGTAGCTCCCTGTCGTAGCGGAAGTCTTATATGAGTTAAAGCCAGTTATGAAGGCTTTGTCTGGACTTAATAAAAGCCCATGTAGTGATATGTTTCAAGATCAATGTCTCTGAAATCATATATATTATAAAATGACAAGCATACAGAATATATAGCTAGAGTAAAGTACCTGTTCGTCTACTGTACTGTGCTATTCCTGTTCTGAAACGGTACGTAACTTTTCGCGAGGTCTATAGCTACGTGCTGACGTCATCCTAGGGTGCGTAGCGCTTTGATTACGTCAGCCTATCGGTACTTTACTGTACTACACGAATATCCTTGAAGCGCTTAAGTCTCGATATTATCTCAACAAAGGGGACAGTGTGACTTGAGTAAATAGAGTAGTCCATTGATAGGCATACAGTAGGTTAGTGGTGAGAAATGATTCAGATTATATTAAATAAGAGTTTTGGTTCCACTAATCTTCTATGGCTCCTTGGCGATTGCTTAAGCAAGCATTTCTATAACCTGTTTGTAAAGAATTCGAAATATCCGCACCCCCACTCCTGCATGAAGCAACTGAGACCTGACAGAGACCTTATTCGCCTCCACTGTGCGAGGGGCAGGTAACACTTCCAGAGGCGTCACGAGAGTGCTCATACGGTACTTGCGGGTGTGCTAAGAAGGGATGCTCTTGTTGGGGGTGTCTTGTTCTGCAGGGGTGTGCTCTCCTGTGGGGCTGAGTGAGTTGAGTTTCCTCCGCCATCGTCTCTCAGACCTCCTCCCGTCTCTGCCACTGAGCTGCTCGTCGTCTCCCGGACCTCCTCCCGCCTCTGCCCCTGCCAGCTGCTCTGATGCTCTTCCTCCCACCGCCCCTACTGCTTCTCCTTCTGCGCTTGTTACCTCCTGTGCTGCCACCCCTTCTGCTGCTGCCCCTTCTGCTGCTGCCCCTTCTGCTGCCACTCCTGCTGCTGCCCCTAATGATGCCGCTGCTCCTGCTGCCGAACCAGGCACTGCTGCCGAACCAGGCACTGCTGCCGAGCCTGGCATTGCTGCCGAACCAGGCACTGCTGCCGGCCCAGGCCCTACGGGCAGAGCCCCAGCTCCTGCTGCGGCGGTGGCCAACCATGCTCCTGCTGCCCCAGGCACAGCTGCTGCCCCAGGCACAGCTGCTGCCCCAGGCACAGCTGCTGCCCCAGGCACAGCTGCTGCCCCAGGCACTGCTGCTGCCCCAGGCACTGCTGCTGCCCCAGGCACTGCTGCTGCCCCAGGCACTGCTGCTGCCCCAGGCACTGCCGCTGCCCCACGCGTTGTTGCTGCTGCCACACAAGGTATGGTCGTGATACCAGTGGTATGACAAGGGACTGCTTAGGTAGGCCGAGTAAACAAAGCAGAGGATTTGTAGTCCTTGTGGGGCCCGCGCACAAGGTACTCGATGCTGAACCTCTCCAGGTGAACACCTTGGAAGGCAAACCGGTACGCCACTTTGTACAAGTCCTTCACACACAGGTGCTCCCCCACCGCACGCCACGCCCGGGGCAGCGCCTTCTCCACGAAATCAGCACTCTCAAGGTCTTCATTTCTGTGAGAAGCAGAACCTGACCCAGAAGGGTCCGGAAAGAACCTCAAGTGGTGGAAGAGGTATGTGCGCTGCGACTTGTCGGCAAAGTGGACGGCGATTCCATCCTCGGGCCCCTCGCAGACCCACACATACTCGCGCACCCACACATACTCGCGCCACACCTTGTTCCCCTTGCCCCCTCCGCTGCCTGCCATCACAAACTCCCCCTCTTCACGGTACAGGTACTCTCCTTCCCCCGCGCGTAGACTGAACGTGGCTGTCCCTTGCATGCTGCCCGACGGCAGGCCCTCATGCACACTCCGGATCTCGCGCTCCAACCGCCATTTCCCCGCCAACCCCCGGAACACCGCCCCTGCCACTGCGCTCCCGCCCTCCAGCTCGCTACAAGCACGCGTCAATTGCGCCATGGCAACCTCAGCGGCAGCAACAGACGGTGCAGTGGTGGTGGTGGTGCAGTAGTGCGCCGGTACGACCATGTCGTTCACTCTCATCCACTCGGGGTCCGTGGGCAGCGCACACCCGAGCGCCTCAGAGAGCGAGTTGCACATTCCCACATAGTCCCACACAGGGAACTGCGGCCGTGGCTGCTGCTCCCTCACCTTCCTCGCCTCCTCAATGCCCTCTTGAAGGGTGCTGTTTGGAACGGGCGGGAGGGCGCCGGACAGCACGGCTGCGGCCCAGCGAGCCTGGAGCTCCATGGCGGCAAAGTAGGGCCCGCGGTACATGCCCACCATGGCAGCGTTGGGGAGCGACGGGTGGAAGGTGCAGCGGTGCAGCAGCAGCGGCGAGAAGAGGTCCGACGAGTCGAAGCCAATCTGCTCTTTAAGGTCATTTGGGAGGAAGGGCAGAGCGGGGCTGTAACCAGTGCAGAAGATGACTGCATCCACACTGTCAATGGGCTCATCCGTGCCCTGGAGAGTCACAGAGGCCTGTGCAGCTGTGCTGTGCGAATGCGGCTGCAGCAGCACGCCCTCCACTCTGCCGTGCAGCACGCGGATGAGCCCCTGCTGCACCATCGGCCCGTACCTGTCTGAGATGGCCATGAACGGGTGCTCGCTGTCGCTGCTGCTCACGGCCAGCTCAGGGCACAGGAGTCTACCCTGCAAGGAAAGACAAGACGGGGAAAGAGTTCTGTTAGAAATACAAGAGGCATGGGTTCATTGGATGGGCACGTGAATGGATGGCGCGCAGAGTGTGCTTGCAGCAACCACTGGCCCATTCCAAAAGATCACTTCGAGCAGAAACACCCGTGGTCGAGTGGACTGAGGAATACACATAAGAAAGAAGCAGGGTCCCACCCATCCCATCCCATTGCGGCCTTCGAGTTACCTGATCACCGCACAGAGCGCGCATGTACTTGTTGGCAGCACGCCGCGCCTCTTCACTGCGCAACGCGACGAGAGACGGCGACGCTCGCGAGGTCCTTCGATAGAAGCACAAGTCGAGCGGCAGGAAGGGCGAGGCCAGGTCTGACGGGTCGGCTGGAAGGAAGCGTGGCAGCAGCCAGAAGGGCTTGGCGATGACGTGGATGACCTCAGAAGCTTTTGATGCCACGTCAGCGGCGATATCGACGCCGCTGAAGGATGCACCGACGACGACGACCTTCTTCCCCGCGAAGGCATCGCTGGTCCTGCAGTCGGCGCTGTGGATAAGGACTCCTGCTGCTGCCGCTGCATCAGCCCCTGGCATGTTGGGAATGCGTGCCTTCTCGAAGAACCCCGAGGCGACTACCAGGGAATCGAACACCTCTGGGTTTTGCTGCCGGCCGTCTTGATCCACGTGGACACTCCACTTTCCGTCGTCCAGCAACGCGACGCGGGAGACACGCGCGTTAAGGCGCAGCGAGCTTGAGGCTGCCAATGAGTTTGATCCCGGCGGAATGAGGAACCGCTGGGCGTACGACTTCAAGTAGGCAAGCACTTGAGCTTGCGACGGGAAGACCGGCGCATCGTCGGCCCACGGATGGTCGGAGAAACTGCAGGTGAAGCGCGATAGGTTTGTCATCATGCCTGCCAGCACGCAGGCGCTCCATCTGATGCCCTGGCGGCTGGTTTTGAACAAGATTCTTCCTCATTTGCCTCGCCACCGTCGCTTGGAATGCCTTGCCTCCACAGTCCGCCAATAGAAGCGGCCTTGTCAAAGAGAGTGGGTTGAAGGCCCGCCTCGAGGAGGTACTTGGCTGACGCGAGCCCTGCGGGGCCAGCCCCGATGACCGCGACTCGTTTTAGCCCCCTGGGTAGCGCCGCCATTGCCACCGGGCGGAAGGCAGGGAGGGAGCTGTGGACGAGGAGGGGGCGATGGAGCAGTGTAGGCATTCTAAGCAAACAGTCATGGGTGAAAACCCAGCACCTAAAAGAGGTGAGCGCCAGACAGCGCAGATCTGCCTCTCAGAAGAAAATGAAGCAATCTCCAACCTTGATTTACCCTTAGGGCGTGTCCGAATTGCCAAAACACATCGATCAGACGTCCATCCGTCATTCGACGGACGTCCGTGATGGAAGTTGATGGATGACAGATGGATGTTGTTTTGATGTTGATCCAATTCGGACACGCTGCTGGCGACAAAAGTGCCTCAAAAACTGCTTGACAGTACTGTTGGTAGGGCCCATGTCCGCCAGAGAGTTTTTGGCAATGTGGAATTTGAGTTTCAACAATCTCGGATGACCTTCGGGAACAAACCTCGCCAGTTCGTGCAAGCCACGAGGATCACCAAAATGCAGCTAGGCCGCAGCGGCCTAGCTCGGCCCAGCGAGGATTTCCACGGACCAGCTGTGGACCAACTACAGACCCACTATGGACCAGACTTGATCCCGCCCCTTGACCCGCGTGTACTGTACAGAGCCGATCCAACAAGCAGTTGCGCACGTGGAGGTGAGTAGACGATCTCGAGAACCATTGCACCGAATCAGACCACGCAATGTGATTGGCGAAACCTTGGCGGCATTGGCGGCGCCCACGACGGCGAGCAGCGCGAGGAGAGCGAGGGAGAGGCGCACGACTGCCATAGTGTCCACTTGAGTAGACTGGAAAGAGCAGATAGTAAAGAGCTAGGCAAAAGTTGAAAATTAGATAGTGATCATAGCTTTGAAGGAAGGGCTTATGTATTTGCCTTGCCATGTTTCAAATGAACGGGGGAATGGGTGCAGAGAGGTGGAGCGACGAGCCGCGTTGGGGCCGAGGTGCGACGCCGCCGAATTCTAAGTCAGGAAATCGGTTATGTGCGTTCCTTGCACTACGGAAAGGCCACTTCGTGAGGTAGATGGGAAGAAGTCTGAATCTCACCAGAATTGCAAGGTAGGGGGAATGTGGTGTTCGGGGATCTACTGGAAGGCGGTTTGCCAAAAAGGATAATGGGCGCTGGGGGAGCCAATGATCGCTAGCGAAGCCACGGAACCTTGGCGCCTTACCTGCTGAAGTAAAAGGGGGAAAAGTGGGCTGGTGGTGCTGATCCTCTGGGGAAGTTGGGAAGGGAAAGTGGGTGGGGGGGGGGGGGGGGCGGGAGTACAGGAGGAGGTGACGGGAAGATGCTGGGGAGAAGGATGTGGTGGTGGAGGGACGGGTGAGAGGTGGGGGGGGGAGGGGGAGAGCGGGCGGAAAGTGGGGGGCGCGATGGGTCGCGCAGAACTGCGCCAAAAACCCTCGCCTGACGTGGTTTGACCAGAAACATCCATTTGCTGGTTCACTCAGCTCGCTGAACTTGGATGCAATTCGCGTGCGGTTCTATTGCAGGGATCGATTCTCGAGGCCGGTTCGGCTGAGGGCGGTGAACATCGGTGGTCTGGACGTGCTTGTATTGAAGAGAACCGAGGTGGAGTACACTACACGTCAGTTATGAAGTCTTATGTGATAACAGTTCACAGAATGACAAGCATACTTATGAAAAAAACCTAGAAGGTGAACAATTATGCAGTCTAAGATGGCCTTCCTGAGATGGGGCCCCAACCGAAGTTCCCCCAGCAACAGTGCACGGAGCACGTGACCGTGGCATGGCAGCAAAGGGGAGGGTGAATGGGGACGTCGCATACGTTGGGAGCTGAGGGTCGTGCGATACTCCCTCACATCAACTTTCCCTGCCCCCGAACGTCAGAACGACGGTCGAGCTAGACTGTCACGGAACCAAAAAACAATTGAACATCATCTGGCGCGCATACAAACAGCACAATGCAATTCTGGTGAGAACCCTAAAATGCTTATCGGTTCCATGTGGCCGTTGAAAACTATCGCATGAACGTTCGATGCAGACGCATGTGAAAGGTTGCACCAGGGCCTTGTTCTGTGGCGCTAACTCAGAGTTAGCTAACTCTGAGTTACCGAGCCTTGTAGGGTTGGGTGAGTTCACCGACGAGTAATCATTTCGCTCGTGTGAAGGTATGAGTTGTAACTCACCTTGTTTTTCTGTGGCCCGTAACTCTGAGTTATGGGAGTGTCAGGAAGGTTCTCGAAGATGTCCCGGTCAAAACTTTTGGACTCAACCCGAACTGCCGCCCCTTCGAAACAAATTTCGCGAAAGGGTGACCATGAGGCACAAATTCAACTTCACGCTGACGAAACCATCCCCCCGACTTCACTTCACATTTCCGCCAAGATTGTGCCCGCAACCCTAATCAGCAAGCCACCACGAACTAAATGGAGGATCCTACTTATGACCCTTTAGATACACGGGATTTAAAACGCCAAAAACTAGGCCATCATGTGGAGGAGATAATTAGTTCCTTAATGAGCGATACTATTTTACGGGGCAGAAAGGCATGCCTTATCCTTATCGCGTTGCTGGCCACCAGAAATTTCATTAGGTATCCGAAAAATTCATCACTTTTACGGGGTTCTGCGTACGCTATAGAGCTCTTAGAAGGCCATCCAGATAGGATGCACGGCACGCTGCGCATCGAGCCTTTCCTGTTTGTTAGGCTCCTCTCCATCCTGATGGACTGTCGACTATTGACGCATGGGAAGCATGTCAGCGCTCATGAGAAACTCATGATATATCTTAACCTTCTGGGTCAGGCGGCGTCGAACCGAGCGCTACAAGAACGCTGGCAACGAGGTTCGGAGACGATAAGTGTCGTAGTTCACCGCGTCGCAAAAGCCATTTGTGCTCTTCAATCCGAGTACGTCCGGATCCCGCCCGAGGCCGACAATACGTACCTGGACAGTCGCCGTGACTTCAAGCATTTCCGCGGAGCCATTGGCGCCGTTGATGGTACTCTCATTCCTGCAGTGATAAAGAAGTCTGAACAACAGCCTTTCTTTGACAGGCATGGAAACACCTCCCAGAATGTGCTTGCTGTTGTATCCTTCAACGACATGTTCTTGTACTCTCTTATAGGGTGGGAAGGATCTTCGCATGATTCCACAGTCTTGCAGGACGCTCTCACACGAGGGTTGACGTTACCCGTGGCCACGTATCTCCTTGCGGACTCTGGTTATCGTAATGACGCTATTACCCTTGCTCCTTACCGTTCTATCATTTATCATCTTGAGCGGTGGCAGCAGACAGGCCATGTGCCGGAGCGGAAAGAAGAGCTATTTAATCGAGTCCATTCCTCCCTTCGTTCGCACGTTGAATGTGCGTTCGGCCAGGTGAAGGCGAGGTACCCGATTCTAAAGACCATGCTAAGTTACGACTACAAGATGCAGTGCCGCATTGTTCGCTCTTGCTTTGTGCTACACAATTTCATAAAGTCTGGAGGAGGTGTCGATTTTGCTCCTGTGTCAGAAGAAGGTCCTTCGCAACCTCCGTTGCCCGATGTTCCCGAAGATGAACTTGACATACTATCAAGCGATGCTTCCTCTCGCGTAGGAAATGTGATGAGGGTGTCTATTGCATGTGCTTTATGGGAGGCTAGGATCCAGGAGACATAGGAACATGGTGGCATACATCCATGAGACTATTAATAGTATCGTCATGCATAAGCGTTGCTAGGTTGTCGTCTATTAAACTTTGTGTTCAGCAAGCATGCAATAAAAACCTGCTATGTACGAACACATATTAAATGTCGTTGCTCCGATGTTCGTTAGGACTCAACCTGCGAAGAATAATACGTGTATCGCAATAGGACAAGAGGAGCAACAAACAATGTCAGTTACCACGTGTGGAGCAACCAGGGTTGCAAAACGATGTGCCAATGTGCCCTTTCCCCTCTGTGCTGCCATGCATTTGAGCCTACGTGCCTTTGTGCCGTCGTGCTGCCATGCTTTTGTACCTCTAAGCTGCTGTGCTGCTGTTATGCCATGCCTCTGAGCCACTAAGCTGCTGCGCTTCCATGCCTATGAGCCTCGAAGCTGCTGTCATTCCATGCCTCTGAGCCACTAAGCTGCTGTTATGTCATGCCTCTGAGCCTCTAAGCTGCTGTTATGCCATGCCTCTGAGCCACTAAGCTGCTGCGCTGCCATGCCTATGAGCCTCTAAGCTGCTGTTATGCCATGCCTCTGAGCCTCTAAGCTGCTGTTATGCCATGCCTCTGAGCCACTAAGCTGCTGCGCTGACATGCCTCTGAGCCACTAAGCTGCTACGCTGACATGCCTCTGAGCACGCACAGCTGCTGCGCTGCCGTGCCTCTCATGCTTTTTAAGCTGCTACGCTGCCGAGCCTCTGTGCCTCTAAGCTGTTGTGTTGCCGTTCTGCCGTGCGGTGAAACTGCTGTTTTGCCATTTTGCTATGCCTCTACGCTGCCGAGCCTCCATGCCTGGCACTGTGGCGGTTTACGGCCCACCTGAAACTGATTATGCCTTTGTGCCAGAGCACCGCGGGTAGGGCCTGTTGGAAATGCGTGCAAATGAGGGATAATAGAACATGAACCGCAGAAAAGATGAGGATTTCAAAGCATGCGTGACTGACAAGTTGCACAATACGCGGACTCGACTCGCACCTTACAGAGCACTTTCGTTGCCGCTACCGCTAGTGTCCACCAATCGAGATACACCATCCACAGGTGCAGAGTTGCCTCCACCTGGTACATACATGCCAGTTCCTGGTGCGAGTACACCCCCCGCCTGCCGTTCTACCGCCGTCATGCCGATGCTAGGTCCAGCTGGTCCAAAGATCGGAGGTGCAGAAACTGTGTATGTTGTGCTTTGTGTACCTTGCATTGGTACAGGGTGATCATCTCCAGGTGCATAGGCGGGGCACATGGGTGCATAGAGAGCACCGCTTGTTGCCCATGTTCCGCCAATAGGCACAGAGAAACCGCCGGCAGATGTTTCGGTGCCCTGTGTTCCAGAGAAACCACTATAATTGTACCTTATGCCATCAAATGGTAAGAACCACCTACCTAAAGGTGAGGTGAAGTGCGGGACAACAGGGGAGCCACCGGCAGAAGTGGATCCGCCAGGCATACAGCCTGCTAGGGCTGAACGGGAGCCCCTAGCACCACGACCCGCTTTCTTGCAGCGGGCGCCTCCAATTCCACCTCGCGATACACGTGGCACCCCTGCAGCACGTGGAGATTGATGGCCAGGTGGAGGATAGGTCCAGCCAGCAGGTGCTGATGTGCCAGCGGGCGGAGCAAAGGTGGCGCCAGCAGGTGCTGAGGTGGCGGCTGTGGGAGCAAAGGTGGCACCAGCAGGTGCTGATGTGGCGCCAGCAGGTGATGTTGTGCCAGCGGGCGGAGCATATGTGGAGCCAGCAGGTGCTGAGGTGGCGCCAGCAGGTGCCGAAGTGCCAGCGGTGGGAGCAAAGGTGGCGCCAGCAGGTGCCGATGTGCCAGCGGTGGGAGCAAAGGTGGCGCCAGCAGGTGCCGATGTGCCAGCGGTGGGAGCAAAGGTGGCGCCAGCAGGGGCCGATGTGCCAGCGGTGGGAGCAAAGGTGGCGCCAGCAGGTGCCGATGTGCCAGCGGTGGGAGCAAAGGTGGCGCCAGCAGGTGCCGATGTGCCAGCGGTGGGAGCAAAGGTGGCGCCAGCAGGTGCCGATGTGCCAGCGGTGGGAGCAAAGGTGGCGCCAGCAGGTGCCGATGTGCCAGCGGTGGGAGCAAAGGTGGCGCCAGCGGGGGCTGATGTGCCGGCGGGCGGAGCAAAGGTGCCGTCGGCTGTGGGTTCCACACCCACGTACTTAGCGCGAAGGTCGTCAGGAATGGCGAGGAAAATAGATGCCATGACAGGGGTGCGAGCAAACTCCTTGAACGTCGCGATCTTCTGCTCGTCTGATGCTTGAGACATGGACACGATAACGCGGGATGCTTCTGTGACCACCTTGTGCACCTCATCTGTTATGGAGGGGAGACTCGCATGGGTGAGTGGGAGAAGAGGTTTGAGTGCACTTGCCTGTGGGAGCAATAAACAACTGATTGAAAAAAAAATGCAAAATGACTAATGGGCAGTTTGGATTACCTTGAAGCAAAACCGGGATCGGTTTGACGACATTTTCACAGAGAATGTCGAGGCAGCGTGCGATGTTGTCGGCGGAACGCCTCTTGCGCTTCCCACTGCCAGCACTGACAGGACTGCCCATCGAGAGTCCTTGAGCATGTAGCGGGTTGCCGTTTCCGTCCTGCCCGCCCAGCCCGAAAGAAGGGTGAGAAGGCACCCTCTGACGGGTATCGCCCGTGGTCCCGGCGTTGCTTGGATGGGCAGGGTGCTCTGGTCCGTCAGAGGTTGGCTCTGCTGCTGCATGCTGTCCAGTGGCGATGTTTGTGCTTTCGGGAGCCACTCTCTGCGTAGTACCAGCCGCGTTGCTTCTTGCTCTCGCGTTCGGCACACCAGGGGACGAGGGGATGGCCGATGTTTGTTGCGGGTCGGCTCCCCCAGGATCCGACGTGTAATCCATATTCTCCTCCATACCGTCAGAGGCCATCCTGCCCCGATCACCATTGCTAGGCTCCAATTTTTTGGCAAGTTCAAACCAGGGCGCGGTGTGGGTGCACCAACGTTGGAGGTCATGCCACCTAGATGCCCCTCGCTTAAGAGTGCGGAGAAGCTGTTGGAGGGCAACAAAATGGAATAAGTTTGTCATAAGCTACTGCGTTGTTGAGGCTTCGGATATGCACGCCGAGGCAAATTGGCTGCCGATGGAAGGAAGAAGGGGTTGGCAGAGGGATGCATCGGTGCATGGGTGCCAGTGAGTAGAGTGGGCAAGGGGAGGGAGGGGCGAGTGGAGTACAAAGATTAAAACGAACAGAAGTGACCACCATGAGTGAGAGATGCTAGGGGTGCATCTGTTGGAGCAAAACCTACAGCCTCATAGGGTGAGGGATCAAATGGTGAGGGGTGAGTATGGCCTGGCAAAGGTGACATGCAATCGGTTGAGAAAGGAGAAAAAAACGTTACATGTGGAGGAGGATTGAAGAAATCCTTTTCCGGCCGATAGTCGACTCCGGTAGGGCACTTTCCTTTGAGATACTTTATGTCACGGACCCAATCCCGGACACCCCTCAGATGAATCCTCAGCTGATTCTCACTCCGAGGGTGGCAAGGGTGCAGAACAGCCCATGCCTGAGTGATCTGCGCCCACCCTTGCACCACACCATCATCGGCAACAACTCCTCCCGGCTGAGCGTCTAAAACTACACGGATGAAGTCTGTAGTGAGGTCATCAGGCCACCTGCACCTCGTCCTCTCTCTTGTGGCACTCGAGGTGCCATCACACTCGCTTTCCGCTCCAGTGCTTGAGACCACATTCCAAACGAAACACGGGTTACGCCCAATTGGTGTTGGGTGCGGTGCTAATGGAGGGAGTGATGCTATATTCTGCCCTCGTTGGGTGAGACCATGTGAGGGGCTTCGAGTAGATGCCTGAGTAGACAATTCATGAATCTGATGAAGAATATCTTCGTTCAACATTCTGTCCAGTGAATGCCTAATAACATGTTTAGTGTGGGGCCAGGGCTCAAACGAGGGCATAAGGGTAGGAAAGAGGCACATAACGGGTGGTTCAAGGATGGGCGGGTTCAAATGAGCTGTTGAAGACACTTCAAACAGATACATACATGGAGTAAAAGTACAGAGCAATCACTCGATGAGGGGCATGCTCTACAGTGAGAGGTGTCACCAAGATGGGCTGGAAGGGATGATGCGATATAACGAATGGTGATAATAAAATGAAATGGAATGGGCACCATAGAGAATATTTCAAGCATATAAAAAGAATGCAATTGTTGGAAAGAGGGAGAGCAACACGTGTGAGGCATGTGAGGCATCAGCAATGTCACCTGTGTGGATTCTTAAGAGCGCTTGACAACAGTCCCACACTGGAGATGTGCACACCGAACAAGGTGAGTGAGTCTGGTGAGCGAATCTGGCACAACACAAGGGGCGTGAGTGAGCCAGACAGGGACAAGAGATTTGAAGGGGACACATACGTTCGTATCACAACATAGGTGCTATGGAAGGTTGGCAGAAATTGTTGTTCAAGGAGGGCAGGAGGGGGCCAGCATGTGGGCGGATTGAACTCAGGTGCAAGCACTATCCTCCCAGAGGCGGTGTGAGTAACGGACAAGGTGGGCATGGAAGGTGCGGCAGTACTCACCACGGATCTGAACGAGGAGACGGGTACCCCCCCTGCCCCAATCTAAAGGGTCCCGGCATCAACACAAGTCAGCATTACACCGCCTCAGGCCCCCCTCCTCATTTCCACCTTTTGGCAGAGTGAAGCAGTGCATTCGCTCATCTTGAAGAGGAGGATAGTACCCCATGCCTCACACCCCGCCTCACCTGGAAGCATAAATGCACCACACATTGCACCCCTACCTGCAGGCCGAGGCCGTGTGAGTAGTGGGCAAGGTTGGCAGCATAAGTGGGCGAGGGGGAGGAGAGGGTGAGGAGGGAAGGCGTTTTTCTGTTCGTGAGGGAAATTCAGGCCAATCCGCACCTGCCACCTGGGCTCGCCAAAGTGAGCGTATTGGGGCGGATGGGGGGACAGGGGGGGGCTGGGGAAAGAGAAAGCGGCAGCAAAGGCGAAGTTGCATAAAGTGAAGGGGGTAATGGCAGTGAGGGTGCGGTGACAACTGGTAGCGGGTTCGCGAGCACGCACCAACTGCAGAATGATAGGACAGAGCAAAGCAACTGCCACAATGAGCACGGCAGCACACAGACACGCAAGCGCACATGGCAATTGTTGCAAGCAAAGCAACACTGACACACGCACCAATAACAATACCATGGACAGAACAACCCCCCCTGACCCCCATAATGAAAAGTCAAAAATAACACATCAAAGCAAGAAAGCAAAGAAACCAAAAGTGTACAGGCAAGACCCACCGATTGCAGCTGCGATGTGGCAGAGCGGGCGTCAAGACCCAATCGGATGCGGAGCGATGCTCGCATATCGTTATGACCGCGTAGTACCAAGAAGACACAGATTGGGGAGGTCAAGCATATCGTAATGACCGCGTTCCCTGACTTTTCCTCATTCCCGAATGCCGCCTCTAATTTCGCCTACCAGCTCAGGCTCGAGATGCGTACTACAGCAAGAAATCGCGAGACGACATAGGCTCCCTGGTCGAGGTATGCTCTATGATGACGGGACTTTGCCCCCCTTTTCAATCGTTTCGCATTGATAGTTAGCGTGAAGATTGAAAGTGGAGGCGTGATTCAAACATACTTCGGCCTATGCAAGCTCGTTCTCCTTGAAGCAACTTCGCGCCGCTCTAAACGCATCAGGAAATGATAACCAAATAACAGTTGCCAGATCACACAACATCTATCAACAATGGCGTCCTTACCGGAAATATCGTGGAGCGCGCTACGAATAGCTATTTAGCGAAGATTGTGAGTTTCCAACGACGCGTTACTAGCTTAAGTTGTCGATAAGAGCGAAGCGTACGAGAGAGTTAATCGTGAAGGTAATCTTGGAATCTCGGGGTCGCGTGGTGCATACAGAAAAAGATGGAGTCAGTGCAAGATCAGTTACGGGCCAAATATGGGAAGCGTAGGCACTAGTTGGAAAGAACCAAATGTGGGCATTGTTAAGGTAACCCCTCTCGAGCCGTACTCAGAGTAGTGCAGCCAACTTTCACCCAAAAGCCCCGAGTAAGGGAAAGCTGTAACTCTGAGTTAGTTTGCCCGTGAAAGAAGATTCGGTGCATGCTTCCTACGAAGCGTACTCAGAGTTATAACTTTGCGTCTTTGGAACCCATATTTGCTAACTCAGAGTTAGCTGGCACGGTGTGATTGTAACGTACACACGTGTGAGGGTTGAGTTAATGAAGCCACCACGAACCCTGTTAACTCTGAGTTAAGGGGCCACAGAACAAGGCCCAGATCTTTCAGGTTTTTCACCCTAATCGACTCCCGTCGCATGGCACATGTGGAGGGTGTAACCAATATCGGATTCTGCCACGCTGGACCAATGGTGCTGCAATTCGATGGGGCTCCATCTGAGGAAGGCGATCTAAGTGACAATTGGTAGCTGTTATGAGTGCGATGAGAGAGCGAGTGAGATTGCACTAGCGGAACAAGTACAGTGAAATGAGGCGTGGGCGAATCGTTAAATAGTGAAACAAGATGGTAACGGTAACAAGCATCGAATGTGTGCCCATGGCCAAATATTTGTTTTAGTCACACTGAGCCATCGAACTTACGGTAGGTATAAATAGTTTTTGAAACGTCTGTATTTCAGACCTCTTTGTAAATGTTGTCTCACACACTTCATCAAATTGCTAGGATTTTGGGCTAGTATTTGCGCTTCATCAAATTGCACTACACTTAAAGGTTAGATCATTTTATCTGTCAAAATAACTTTTATGTTATGTAGGCTGTAGTGGGGTAGACTGTACTGAGTACAACCCATTGGGGTTAGCACTATTTGTACTCCTCCCTCATGCTAGTGCACATCATTCATGCTAGTTGATTCTGACATGGTTTCAGAGCGGTTCGCTCCATAGGACCGTTTTTTTTTAGGGCCCACCATTCGTTCTTCCCTGCCCGTTTTGTCAGAAGAATGAACGAGAATGAATGAACTATGAAAGAGTTGGGTACAAGTACTAACCCTAATTGGGTTGTACCCCTTATGGGCAACCCCACTATAGCCTACACAAATGTAAGCAATATAACATTCTGACACACCCCCATAGGCAAAGTGGGGGAGAACAAGTGGTCACAAGACCAGTCAAGAAAAGCAAAGCGAGCTCAGGGTGGATCACAAAGTCACCACACAGTCCGAGCACAAGCAAAGGGCCACAAGGCCAGTTCACATCCAGTGTTATATGTAAGAGAACAAACAATACAGTGATCATACCCTAGCAAGTGTAAGCATGCAGGTCACGCAGTGAGCAAGTGAAGCAAAGTAGGCACAAGGCCTAACACTGTAGAGAAGCGCTGATGATCACCACGCGGAAGTGCCTTGGTGAGTATATCACCAGTGTTGGCCCTAGTGGCCACGTACACAAGATGAAGCTGGCCACGCTGCTGCAACTCTCGAGCAAGGAAGTATCGTAGAGCGATGTGCTTCGTTCGGTGCTCCAGTCTGTGCTCCTGACACAAGGCAATCATGGCCTTGTTGTCTACGTACAGAACTGGAGGCGAACGAGGCTGCTCTCCCAAGTCAGTCAGCAGGTAGGTGAGCCAGCGTAGCTCCTGTGCAGCCATGGCCCATGCGTAGATCTCAGCCTCACAACTGGAGCTGAGAACCGAAGACGAGCGGGTAGACTGCCAGGAAACAGAGCCGGAACCGAGGCTGAAGGAGTAACCCTATGACGACCGCTGCGTAGCTGAGTCGTCAACCCATGAAACGTTTGCGTGACTAGTGAGGACAACTGGACCCCATCATCCAAGCACGAGCCCCATGCCAGACGTACTGCACAAGTAACGCAGTACCCTCTTCGCAGCATCCCAGTGCACCTT